AAACCCACGTCTCCTGCATCGGCAGGCAGATTCTTTATCACTGAGCCACCTGGGAAGCCCATTCTCTCATTGTACTTTTTTCAGTTTTCTTCAATAAACATCTTCCAAAAAACAGTTAAAATTAGGAATGAGATCACTATGTAAGCCTTTATTCAACTCCTGCCTCTAACACTTTCCCACCATCATCTCTCTCTCTCTCTCCACAGGTTCTATTTCTTTATGGTCTCTTAATAATATGCAATCTCCGGGCAGTTTGATGTGAGCCCATAACACACCAGGCTCAGGTAAAAACATGTGATGGGGAGAGGTGTTCCCACCCTGTCTTTCACGAGAGAACTTGGGAAATCCCTCTAACTGCTTTGAGCTACAGATTCATTAAAAGGTGTTCAAAATACCTCACATATAGAAATACTGGGAGGATGGATCAGATGATATTTGCAAAATTCTTTCAGAATGCATCACACTACAAGAAGGTACTCAGGGAACACTGCCTGGATTTGAAGCCCTCCCAAGGAACACCTGGGCCAAAGAGACTTTTGCATCCCTCCAGGTGATGGATCAGCAGAGTCACACGTTGGCAATTAACACAATTGTTTCTCTTCATTGAGAAGAAAACACAACACACACACCAAGTTTAAAGGAAGGCAAGTATAGTCACTGTGTAGACTGGAATTTCCAATTTCAGAGTGAAAAAGTGTCCTTCCATCTGCAGAGAGAATGCTTGTCTCCTAATCACGGATTTCAAAAGGTGAAAATTAATATGTAGCTTGCAGCAAGCTTGAAGAGAGGAAAAGAACCAATCAATTAGTCTGTATGGGGCCCAGGTAGAACACGCCAGAAGCCACGGGTAGCAGGGTGTGCAAACTGCTAGGCAGAAGTCAGCTCATTCTCACTAATGACAGGGGAGCCCATTGTGAGTTAGCAAATTTCACAAATTAGCAAGTAAGAAAAAAACATAATTAAAAGAATTAGAGACACGGAATTGTGGCATGTGCAGTGTTCATTTATTTTGACAAGCATAATTTAATTTTACTTATTTAGGGTAATATTTCATAGTGTACTAATGAATGTACTCTTGTCTCCTTTGCAAAAGTAATGGAATATTAGTAACATGAGCCCTTGCTGCTGTTCTCTGTTATTCAATCGCTCCTGACAGGTGAGGCAGACCACCAGAGGCTTGCATTCCAATGGCTGGGCTGGGGAATACAGCAGCATCAGAAAGAATTTACTCAGGGATAAAGTGAAGGTTGCTCAGTGTTCTCCCATCAGTGAGCACATACCCCTTAAAAGACAGATATTAGGTCACGTATTTAACCTCCTCCTGGTTCTTCTCCAAGGTTCTCCTAGGTACAACCTATGTTCTTCTCCCGGAAATCAGAAGCACCATTGAAAAATAAAGCATTTTGGAAGTTCCCAGGTGGTCCAGTGGTTAGAACTTGTGGTATCACTCCCAAGGACCCAGGTTCAATCCCTGGCAGGGGAACTAATTTCCTATTCCTGCCAGTGAATCTCTCTTCCTTCAAGACAAGAATGGAGAGAACCTACAATTAGCCTTCATCTCAATTTCATTTCCTCTGTTCCTATGTTGACAGAGTCTTCATGATTCTCTAATTTTCTTGCATCCTGTAAGCCCAGATCTTTTCACCTGAATTTGCCATTGTCACCAATCTCTACTTCCTGTCTTATCATCCTTTATCTTCCTGCAGCCTCATACTCATTTACCTTAGATGGATCTTCTTAAATGTTTTTATGAACATGCCGGCACTCAGCACAAAAACTTCAGTGGCTCCGTGTTGAAACTGATGACAGCAATAAAGCAAAGCTTGTATTCCTGCACTGGAACTCAGGACTATCTGCAAGAGCTGGCTGCCATCTTTCTAAGCATGCTTCTTCCAGTCCCTTATAGGAGCTCAGTTTTCAAGGCTGCAAGTGTGCTGGGTAAACACCCTTACTGGACTTCAATCTCTCCATCTACAGATGAAGGCAAATGAGCCAGAGTAACTCTTGGCTCCTCTTTCACCTCCATCTCATGCTGTCTGCTTTGCTTAGTATTTAATTCATCCTTTAATCCACTGACATCACTCATCTCATGTTCACCTGAGCCCTCAGATTTCCAAGTCCAGTGGACAGGGGTCCCTTCCACGCTGACCCAAGCTCTCCATAGCATCTCTCCTTTTAGCTTGATGAGTTTTCTCTTTTCTGGGTCTCCTCTCTCCTCTTGAGGCCCTGGCTCCCACTCTGTCTCTCATCTGCCTCTCAGGTTTCTTTATTTCTACTTTCTTTACATTGAATCATTCTCCAGAATTTTATAGTTATCTTGTTGCTACTTGTAGTTTTATGGTTTACACACCTGGTTTATAACTGCTCTGGAAAGCTTCTGAGTTAGGAACCTACATACCAGCCCAGATCTTTCTCTGGGGCTCTGGCCACTCCTGGCCAGCTGGTCATCACATTTCCTCCTGGATGCCTCCTTGGTACCTCAAACCACAACTGACCAGAACTGGAAGCATGCTGTCTTCTCTCTGCAGTCCCTGCTTTAACAAGCAGCATCGTCTCCACTTGAGGCAGCCAGACGGGAGGTCCAGCCTTCCTCACCCCAGCTGCGTACTGCATCCGCCAACGAGCTCCTTCAGTAATTCTAGAATCGGTCACTGCCTCAGCCACAAGCCCCAATGTCTCCCTTTCTTTGAAAGAGTCCCTCAGTTTGTGTAATCCCATTTCCTTCCCCAGTAAGTCCATCCTTGAACACTGCTGTCAACGTATGGATTCAACCTCAAGGTTTCCCTTGCAACTTCCCAGTTAAAATCTTTCAACCAACCCTCAAGTCTTTTACCAAAAGCCTGAACTGTGAAATATGTGGCCTCTTATGATGGGCTAGACCCTGCTTCCTTTCCTTCTTCGATTCACATCCTTCTTTGAACTGATTTTCACACAGTTCAAAGTCACCATGTCTGACCTGACCCCTGTTTATAGCAAAGAAAACGGTCTGCCCCTGTCTTCCAAGCTCTCAGGACTCCTAAGACACCGTCTCTCAATCCCACCACCATGTCCTGCAGTTATCCATTTGTCTCTCTTTCCCACCAGATCGTGTACTTTGAGGGCAAAATCTTGTCTTACAAACCTTTGTAGCTCCAGGCTTTTTCTCAGTGTCCAGGACACAGTAGACACTCAATGTTTGCCCTGTGAATAAACAAATCAGTTGATGATGACAATTTTCACTCCGCCACTGGGGTGCCGAGCTATGCGGATTTGCTGTCTCTCATCACGCATCAGCTGGTTCCAAGTCTCACGTTTGGATAGTGTCTCTGGCTCTAGGTTGAACACACTAGCATCTCTAATCAGGCAGCCCCTGGCCAGACAGACAGGAAATAGAGCAAAGAAAGGCAGAAACATGAAACCCAGCTGGGGCTGGGGCTGCTCGGTATTCACTTCCTTTTGGATTCACCGTCCCACCGTTTAACACTTGAACTTTCAGCTGCTGGGATTTCAAGGGAAGGGGCTTAATTAGTCAACAAGACATGACAACACTCTGTTAAAGCCAGATTACATACACCTATGGGGCGTGTGGAGACACAGAGGAAAACCCCACAACTTCAAAGACCTGAAAACCACGTTATCTTCCGACAGCACATGGGAGAATGTTCCAAGAGATAAAAGGCCCAAGACAAATGGTGTCTCTAATTGAAATGCAATGGAAGAACGGAGCCCATAGAATTCTAACTACATTTTCCATTCCAGTATTCCTGTACTGATATGGGGAACTGGATTCACAAAGAATTGTGAATATTTTCAAATCAGGAAAGAGCGTACATTACTACAGCGGCACACTCCAGGGACTGTAAAAATCTACAGACACCACACCACCGTATTATAGTTTCTATTCTGCTTATAATTTATTATTTATTCCTTAGCGTGAATGCAAAATGCGTATGTCTTTATTTGTTAAAGGCTGAGGAGGATGCTTAGAAACCACTGGGGGTTTGTCTCCATATAATTATGTTTCTCATTATGATAGTTCTCACGATATCACAGAAAAACTGAAACTCCCTGAATTCTGGTTTAGGTTCCCACGGCCTTGAGAGTACACAGATAATCTTTGGTAGACCCAGTCCACACAGATTTGTTCTCTGTTTTTTTTATACTTTACGACCTTCATGTCATTGTCTTCCTTCAAGGAGGCCCATGGAGGCCGCCTTCCTTCAGGGAGGCCCACAGAAGTCAGTCTTTCTTCTGGCCAATGACAGTTTTTTTGACTGTGATGCGGTTTCCCTAAGTTGGTGCATGAGGCACTCTGTAAGGCGTTCTCCTGCCATGGGCCACAAGCAGAGCAAAGCACCTTTGAACTGTAGCTTTTCCTCACTCGCTGACTGCGTAAACCTGAGGAGACACCCTGTCCAGCCTCTCTCTGGGAGATAACAGCAAAGAAAGGAAGGAGTGAGGGCTCTCTTATGTTAAGATTTCTCCTGCATCCAGACATACATACTATTTATCTCATTCTAATGATCTGCAAGGAGATCCAACCAGTCCATCCTAAAGGAAATCAGTCCTGAATATTCATTGGAAAGACTGATGCTGAAATTCCAATACTTTGGCCACGTGATGCAAAGAACTGACTCACTGGAAAAGACCCTGATGGTGGGAAAGATTGAAGGCAGGAGGAGAAGGAGACGACAGAGGATGAGATGGTTGGATAGCATCACTGACTCAATGGACATGAGTTTGAGTAAACTCTGGGAGTGGCTGATGGACAGGGAGGCCTAGTGTGCTGCTGTCCATGGGGTCACAAAAAATCGGACACGACTGAGTGACTGAACTGAACTGAATTATCTTCACTTCAATGGTGACAGTTTTCATTTCTAAGAGTTTCATTTTATCTTTTTCCTCCAAAATCTACCTGACATCTTTGCAGTAGTCATTGTCTTCTCAATGACTTAACCTCCTCCGCTGATGTCTTTAAATCCTTCCAGCACCATCATGCCACGGGGAGTCTGCACTTGGCGATGCTGGGCTCCTCTCTGGTGGACCTGAGTTTTCTAGAGTGGCTTTACGTTTGCTTTTGCCGGTTACCCAGGCTTCACGGCTTTGATATCCTCCATTTGATTGCCAACTCCGCACAAAGTAGGTCACAGCCACACGTATTCAGGGGAATTTGCCCGCGCCCCCCCCTCCCCGCCCCGCTCCTTTTACTTAAACCTTATCCCAGGTGGAAGTAGCCCAGAAAACTTGTCAACTCACTGAGCTGGTGAACAGAGTTTTTCTAGTGTGATTTCCACTAAGATGTAATCACCTAGTACCTGATATTTATCCTGAAGGTAGGGCAGGAGAGCAGACTGAGTTCTGCTCCAGGGCTTCCCTCGGTGTCTCCTCTGATGGTAACACAGAAGCCCCTTGATTTACAAAGTGGAGCAACCTTCCTGCCTCCTGCCCGCCTCCTGCACCAAGGGCACTAATACTTTATTCTTTGTTTTGGCTGCTCCTGACCTTCCTTCCTTCTTTGTAAACTCAGCCATACACATCAACCATACTTGTAACTGAGTAATCAGAATTACCGCTAGGTTTTAGAGGTACAGGTTTTCAGTACTTGGCCTAACACACAGTGGAAGTTGAAATTTAAAGATATATTATTATAATCATTTTCTATAGTAATTCCTGCTCACTTTCCACAGATAGAAATACATTAATCTTATACATTTCTCAAACTAAATAAAGCAGCCAATATATTTCCCAAAGGATTGTAGTATTTTTATTTACATATCATTATAGTTTAATAAACTAGTCACTCACATAAAAAAGCAATCTTCCATTTTCATGAGGAACATGGGGATATTTATATTAATGATATAATTAATTGATTTTATTTTAACCCTAAGGACAGTCCTTTGACATAGATTTTTTTTCTAAGCGATAAAACTGAAGGTCAAAAAATGAACACTTGTTTCAAAATTAGAAAGTAAATGAATAGCAAAGATCAGCTCTAAACTCAAGTCTGTCTAAATGTAAAGTCAATTTTCCTTCTACCCAAAAATCTCTGAGTGGGATTCTTATCTGTTTATATCAAGTTATATATCTTAGGTATGTGTAATTTTTATTAACTAATTAAATCTCAGGAAACCTGGAAAAGGCAAAGAATCATCTGGAATGCAAGAAGTCCTCTGATCCAGTCACAATCTCCAGAGATAAGGCCAAGTACAGGTTTTGAAAGCCTCCAGGGTCCCTTTCCCACTAGAGTTTGATGAACTTGGCACAATATAATGCTGCACTGATACTCGTGACTTAATTGGACCTCTTAATTGATGACTTCAAATGAGTGTGATCAAAACCTCTGGGAGACTCAACTCTGACTATCACACATTATCTTGGTCAAGATGCAAAAACCAGTGTAAATTCAATATTACATAAAAGACACAGTGAGTCAGATGAAGCTGGGTCTGTCTTCTGGCATGAAAACTGAGAACCCACCAGGGGAATCCTTGGAAGCAGGGCTCCCTTCTGGTGGTCCATCCACCTCCATCAAAGCATCGCTCACATGCCTGTCACTTCCTCATACTTCTGGACTTCACAGGATCAGAGAACCTTGGAGCCCTTCAGAGGAAGACCAGGCTATGGTGTGGGGCCAAGGCAAAGGGCAAGACTTCTGAGCAGCCAGAAAATGAGATGGGGGAAGACCAGAGAGGAGAGGGGACTGGAGGAGGAGAGAGACAGAGAAAGAGAAAGGGAGGTGGGTTTCCCACAGAGTGGTCCAAGCCAGGAGAAACCAGGGTTTAACCACTGTCTTGAAAAATGAGCTACCCTTTCTGAATCTTTATCAACTCTTTGTATGATAAGATGGAAATCCCCTGCCCTGAGTAAGAAATGAATGGAAAGTGCTTTGCAAAGAGCAAAGTAAAGGGTGACAGATGATGAGATGGTTGGATGGTATCACTGACTCAAATGACATGAGTTTGAGCAAGTCCCAGGAGACAGTGAAGGACAGAGAAGCCTGGCATGCTGCAGTCCATGGGGTCTCAAAGAGTCAGATGTGACTTAGCAACTGAATAACAACACAGGTGCTGAGTCGTTATGGGCAATAAGCACACAGCCTGCTAATGACTCAGCAAGGATGCCACCTTACAGCCAGACATTCACCTCAATCTGGAATGAAGCAGCTAGTCAGGGGCTTCTTCTCAGCCCCTGAGACAGCAGAGAGGCTCCCAGAACCATTCCAGCATCAGCACCCACCTCGTATCACCTGGGGCCCATACGAGGCTGCACATGAGAGCAGGCAGAGCCTCCTGAGTGGGAGGCAGATGGGTGGGCTCGAGATGAAACTTACACTTTGATTTATAAGGTCTGATTGCATATTCCATCATATTACATCATATGACACATACAGCATATGTCATACAATTCATGGCATATATCATATGGAATATACTGTATAGCATATGGAAATGGAAACCCACTCCAGTATTCTTGCCTGAAAAGTCCAATGGGCAGAGGAGCCTGGCAGGCAACAGTCCATGGGGTCACAAAGAGTCAGACATGACTGAGAGAATAACACTGATATATGATGTATGCCAAATAGCATGTACTGCATGACATATGCCACATAGGATAAACTGCATGATATATGCTATATGGCATATATGAGATAGCATAAACTCTATAGCATGTACCAAACGGCATATACCACATGGTATATACTATATGATGTATACTAGATAGTACATACAACAGGCATGTATCATGTAACATATACCACAGGGTATACATTAATACTATATGGCATATAATAGATATTGTATACTATATAAGCATATACTACATGACATATGCCATGTGGCATATACCATATTGTATATACAGTATGACATATACTAGATAGCATATGCCACATGACATATACTGCATAGTGTATATCATATGACGTACCAGATAGCACATACCACATAGTGCATACCAGATAACTTATATCACATGACAAATACTGTATGTATTGGCATACACCAGAGAGAAAATGCCATATGCTATATCATTATTATTATATAGCACAGACAGCATTTAAAGGCATCTTAAACCTGATTTATCATGCAAAGGGAGGGACGGTGTCATTTGTGGAGGGGCACCAGCAGAGCGGCCAGGCCCTGCACACAGCCTCTCTGGAAGAGGGTAGCCAGGAGCCTGCCCGGGTGCAAGGGTGGTTTCGAGTTCTGTTGAAGAGACTCAAGTGTCAGGCTAAGGAGCTTATTCTTTAAGTGCTGGAAAATAAAGCTTTCTATGCAAAAATAAGCCGCAGCAGGTGGAGGACATACTGGAGGGTGAGGAGCAAACCAGAGACAGGATGCCATCAGGTGCCCCTGGACCCCTGCGGGCAGGAACCATGAGAGACTGAACGCAGGCACTGGCAGGGGTCAGAAAGGGGGTCCAGAAATCTTCCCGCGTCAGAGGAAGCAAGACTCAGTAAATCAATTAAAAGGGGGTGTGAAGGAAGGGGTGCATCTCCAGTCTAGGCTAATTGCATGAATGCCACTGATTCTATGGAGGTGGACTCCATGGGGAAGAAGCAGATGGTGAAGGACGAGGTCAGGGCAGAGACAGCAAAGACCCCTGGGTCGTTTGGACAGTTGGGGGCGTTGAGGAGCCCAACAGGCTTTGAAGCTGTCTGGCCAGGATTCAGCAGAGAGATGTGAGCTGGAGAGAAAGCACTATGAACATAAACTTGGAAGTCAAAGTCTCCCTGTCAGTGGGAACATTGAAGGGAAAGGTATAGCATTATAGGTGTGGGGAAGGGAAGAGAAAGCTTTGTGAAGAGTGGTGTACCTTAGGAAGCAGACAGACAATGAGGAAGATTGAAAAGCTGCTCCAGGAAGGGGCACTCACAAGGGAGGAGGACCCCTGGAATCATGGAGGTGTGTCCTGGGCACATCACCCACACCTGTGGAGGTGGGCAGGGCTGTCACTCTCAAAATCCTACAGGACAATGGCCCAGGCTGCTGGACGCGACAGGCACCCGTGAGCAAGATGCAGTCCCTTCCCCAAAGAACACTCTGCCCCAAGCCCCCTAACCTGGGAGAGCATGTGTGTTCTCCTGTGCAAACTGTGAAACCCAATCCCTGACTTCAAACCATGTCCCACATAGAACTGCCCAGGCCTTAGCTGCAAACAAACAGACTCCACCTGAATATTAGTTCCCTTTCTGTCTCTACTCCTCTCCTCAATTTCACGAGCCATTATGTGCCATTTGAGAAGCCAGACTGTTTTTCTGGCAGATTTCTCTTTCTTTCCTTTCCCCAGCCACTCTGGGAGACAGTGGACACCTCTGTTAGTCTGTAAAGGAGAGATAATAATCATGAATCCTCAGTCTCCAAATAGTTAATAAATGATGCTAAGGGCTTGCAATCTATTGGAAGTGCTAAAAACCATCAAGCTTATTCAATCTGCAGATTTTCCTGAATACCTTCCATTGAATCATCATTTTGTTTTTATAGTTGGGTTTTTTTCAAAACGGAGTTGCGTTTAATTCTCCATTATTCTTTAGGCAGCACAGATAAATTGGAGCCTAGCAATCTTTCATCTGAATAATTACAAACATATTAGAAAAAGAAAGAAAAAAAGAGCTCTCTCAGCTCCACAGGCCCAGCGAGTTCTGGGCTGATCACCGAAGAATGGAACAATGGGGAAATAGGGTGTCCACAGAGGTCCTGAGCCTGCAGGGTGATGCAGAGGGAAGTGCAGGTTAGGAGGATGCAAGGAGGGAGGGAGAGGGGTGTGTGTCCAGAAACCACACGAGACAGGGGGGCAGGGAAGCTGGGGAGTGCGCAGGCACAGAGGATCAGCCAGCAGAAGCCTGTGTCTTATGGGTGAGCCCTCAGGGCCAGGAGGACCCAGGAGCCTCCACTCACAGCTTCTAGGACACAGGCATCTTTCAAGACAGACACCCCAGACAAGGAGTTCTGAATAAGGAGACCTGCAGTTACTTTGCATCCTGTACAAATCAATAGAGGCACTCTCTTCCCTATTCCTGGGACAGCCGTTCTCCCAGGCGGTTATAAAGGGTGTGGTTTGCCGAAGCCTGCACTATAGCCCGGCAGCTTGAGCTGCAGTGGGGGCCGGGGTGGTGCCAGGCCTGGGCTGGACTT